ATAAATATACTTTGTCTTTCAGAACAATTACAGACTAATTATATTTTAAAAGGTTTTGCATAAATGGATAGAGTTAGTTTTATATATATATATACCTATTTATAACATTTATATATATTTAAATATAGTTCTTATGTAGGGATAACAATAGCGTAATATACATACATATCAACATTCGTGATGTCTGTCGCCACTTTAAGTTTTGTACTAAATTTAACGGTTGTTTGGAAGAGAATGCTATTTGTTTATTTCACTAGGCTATGGATATTATATAAATAAATAAATAGAGCAACTCGATTAAAGATTTCTGTGGCTTTTGCTTGTGTAAATTCATATTTTAGCTTATGATGATAATTATTGACGAATGAAATCTTGGCGTTTAATTTACTATATGTAAATTTACACCCGTCGGAAGCCAGAGAGGGTCGTTACCAAAAATGTTTAACGCTGCAGCAAACTCATGACAAAAATTGTAGCTCGTGTAATTTGGGAATGTTTAGGATGCTAAAAACATATTGTCAGTAATGTATGTTCTGATTGTTATATCGGCCGGTGCTCGGAGACTAACCTGAAAAAGTCCAGTTCAGCATAAAGATATGGCATGATACCTAATAAATAACTGTGTATGCTAGCCTAGCCAACTAGGTGCAAGGTTTTTTTATCATAGGGGAATGCTTTGTGCACTGTCCCCGCCGCTTGACTGACGGTAGAGGATATGTGGGACTCTCTATCCACCCGGAGCGGTCCGAAGGTTAGTCAAAACGCGGATGAATAACCTAATCACACTCTATGCACACTGTTTCTATTGAAGGAAGAGCCAGGCATTAATATAAACAAGGTCTCTAATTAACTAATATACTTTTAGACGTAGCACCATAGTTCATATAATCATAAATAAAATCAGTTGAGAAGTGTGAACGAAATAAAAATTGGCACCGTAACAAACAAGTATCATAAAGAAACCTGCATTACCGAGTTAATGACGTATGTATAAGCATCTATGTGCCATCATAAAAAAGAACACGAAAGCCAATTGTGTAATGCGAATGACACAAATCGTTTAGGGAAACGAGTCATTTTCGATAATCACCTAACACCTCTGACCATATAATTGTTTATTTGATATGAGACAAAAACATAATCGCCCATAATTTTTCGCAGCATCGAAAAGATTTCACATACTTGTGACTTTTTTGGTCTAAATTAATATCATAGTTATAATTATTTTTTCCATCCAGCATTCATGACGTTTGGATGTCATATGAATACTGGATGATTCATTTTCTATTTCTTTTTTTAACCAGTATTCAGCAATCCTTTATAATATATTTCTTAACGTAACAAAACTATAATTCACTCAATACTTTCACAACAGCCGATGTCATGCAGAGTCACGATACGCCTGCGATTCCCAAATGGCAGTGCTGTGTTTTGCTTTATGTAAGGTGTGCCAAAGGGCAACTTGGGGCTGGGTGGGGTTCATTCAAATCGTTTACAGATTAATGGCTACTATTTTGATGGCACGCAATCCTTATATATTAGTCAAATATATATGAAAACGTGGATTTATGCCGTCTATAAGCAGTTCAAGATAAGATTCCTGTTTTACGAAAGGCTAACAAATTCAAGTTTTTTTAACTAACTATCTAAAAAACAACCAAACTGATTCCTTAATATAAATGTTGTTATGAACATCAATACCAATTTTTAGTTAAACATAGTGATGAGATGTCGGAATTATTATACAAAAAATCACTCTACGTTATCCCATAAATTTGGTATCGAAAACATCAATATAGATATTGTTAAGTTAACCCATTTTTGTTCTATCAAATTATAAATTTATACTTTATTATTTCTAGTATACAACTCTTTTATCTAATAAAATAAAATTGTCAGTTTAAAATAAACACAAACAAACCTCATAGGTACATTTGAAGTAATTAATACTTTTGGATCCTTATTGTATTCTTAAAATATTTGGAAATGGTTTTTTAAGTCATAGCTTTTTGTTTATAAACTTCCCGGTTGCTTAAAAAAGCGGTTTAGCGGTGGTTTGTATAAATAATGACCATTCAGAGGTATATACCTACAGTCGGGATCTCTCTCCGCTCGGTGCACGCGTGATTAACCCGAGAAATGCTTTGTCTACACCAAATGTCACTTTTTTCCGATCAACCAGAGATGAGTGACATTCGAGTTCAGACAAAACGTTCTTGTGTTCATCATCAAGTCATAGAAAATAGCTGCTCCGTTACTGTGGAGCGATAGACTCCGAGGCTAACGAGTGAGAAGTTCTATCAAGAAAGCCCCGAGAAGACCCTAGGGAGCAGTTCAAGTAGACCTCAACACAGCATAGTATTGATGCATTCCTCCCGTCTGCTGGCGGTTGACTTTTACCACTTCACCCGAATAAAGAGACGCTCTTGATGCTCTGCCTCTTTCACCCGACAAATGGAAACTGAAGGGTTGGTTCACCGCATTAAATTGAGAGTCGACTATGTTCGGGTGTCCAGGTTCCTTGGTATCACCCCCAACCGAAGCAATGACAAGGTTTCATAGTAGGTAGGTAGCTGCTGATTGATATGCAGTGATCACCCCACTTAGAAGATTCGTTAGAAGGAGAAAGTTCTACACACAGCTTGCCGTCGTATCAGGTAATATGAAAAGTTTTGCTGGGTCAAAAAAGGTACTTATTTGTAGTATTGTATTTTTATTTCTCAAACTGCATTTTAAGATCTAAACTCTTGAAGCACGTTTTTTATAATGTTTTTGAGAACGCTAATTGTGGCTTGCGAGGTAAACGAACTTCTATATCGACTATAAAAGTGAAGTAACAAAATTTCTGTATTTTTCTACGTAATGATATTGTTTGTATAATTTGAAACAAAACACTTGTTTTTGACTATATTGCATTTTGAGTGTTTTATACATTTTTACCGGACTGCGCGACGCAAAGGGGAGTAATGTGTTTATCTGTGTATGTATGTTTCTTTCTATCTGGCATTCTAGAGACCAAATGTGTAGGCGGATTTTGATGATTCCTACGTCAATCGATTCGCCTTATCCTTGCGAGTGTCACTAAAGACATGACAGTAATCAAAATTCACCACAGCGACAACCAGACGCTATATTGTCAAAATGAAAAAAAAATCGATGGACTATGTCAAGTGGGGTGTCGTTGAATAGGTATTTTAAAATCATCTTTAGGTTTCTTTTATCATTTTTCATTATAAACAATAATTTAGGATATATAACGATTTAAAGTTGTTTAACAAACGATATTATCTCCCTCAATGAAATGATTAGATTGCGAAATTTACCATATTATAAGGAAGTCAACGAATCGTATCTAAAAAGTATAAAATAAAAATAAATAATTTAAAGAAAAACAAAAAAAAAACCCTGTGCGTAAAAACGAATTAAAAAAATAAATGAACAAATTAACTTAAATAAAAAAGTAAAAAGAAAGAAACAAACCCAGTAGTTTAGAATTCTGTTAAGTAATACTAAATAACTACACAATTGAAATAGTTTATAATCAATACACACATAAAACAAATCATAAATTGAAATGCAGTACTATTAATATTACAAAACATTTTAAACGCCAAATTATGATGTTGTTATATTTAAAGAGAGAAGTCGGGTTAATAAAAACATTTTTAAAACGACATGTCCAAATATAGACAGAATTTTCGGCTTCCTGTTGAGTTGAGGACGTGTTTCGGAGTTTTGAGTCACATTTGGGTTAATGTAGCCGTAGGCGTATTATGATAAAAAGAAATTGTAAGATCCCGCCTGAGGTGAGGACGCATATTTTTATTTGTCTGCGTGTAAATATTGCCCAAATTGAAGGGGTAGGTAACGTATAGTCAAATAATGTACAATTTCAAGCAATAAATCATTGATAAATTTATTGTACCAAAGCGATATGTTAAGTGTTATTTTTAAATATTATTTTACACAGTACATAATTTTTCGGAAATAATAGGGGTGGTTTAAGACTACCCCATCCTCAACCCAAATCACGTGTATTTTTTAGTACTACAAAAAATCTTAATTTTTTGGACGCCACTTTTCGGTTGAGTAATCACGCGTTTGAAGAAAAGATAAATACACGTTATATATTACTACACCCTTCCTCCCTCCCTTGTGATATTTTGTGATTTTTGCGAAATCTCTCTCCCCCTTTCTAGCCTCATGTGATTAATGGACGGCCCCTATGGTCATAGACCGATATTATTAATCCATGCTATGGTGTTTAAAATTATAGAAACGACTCGATATACCCGAAATTACGTCCAAACATCTTCAATAACCGAAAATATGCTTTACGCGCCCAAACCCGAGATTCGTAGATGTATATCTGCCTACCAGGTACCTATTCTACTTTATAGCGCTTTGCTATAGCGAATATTTCATTTACGTAAGCAACTAGGTCAAATCAAATAAAATATTTTTATTTTCCAAACAGTGTACTCACTAAGCTCGTAGACCCTGACCAGTGGCGTAGCGTGCCTTGGAAGGGCCCTGTATCAAAATTGGTTAGGGGTGTAAATTTTTTTCTTTAGCACATATGGAGCCCCTAACGCCACTGATAGCCATAAGAAATGTTAACTATATTGGGCTTAAGGAAGCTTTATTGATTTTTTTATTCAATCAATTTTTACTGAAAATATCAAAGTTAATATCTTGGATAAAAAAATAAATATTTATAATATGTAAGTTTATTAATAGTTTTTTTTTTAATAATGTTTGTTTCTCTTACGTTTAGTTTATTAATATTAATTAAAGCGTATAAAGGTTAATAAACGGACGCAAATCTAGTCCAAAGTAAATAAAAAAGTAATAAACAAAGATATCACCTTCAAAATCAGACCGAGAACTGCATTTTGGGAGGGAGACGAAAAATCAATACCCAACACTTCTCGAAGTATGACAACAAAAACAGCTGATCGCGGAAAGGAAATATAATATAATGCGATTGATATACTCACCAAGATTTCTGTTGATTATCACCCGAGCTATTAAAGTTAGTTAATGCAGGATATCTGCAATATAAAATACAAAACCAGGCCATTATGACAATAACAAAAACACTTAGAATGTAATAAACAAAGTTAAAAACTAGCATACATATGTTAGTTTATTATTAAAAAGGAGGATTGATTGTGTTGAACAGTGAACAAAGGAATAATTTGTTTTGCAACTAGGACTCACCTTTGTGCTGTACACTCTAACACTTTCTTCTTTTCCCAACCTTCTTGCGTTTTCACCCATTCCTCGCCAGGCGATCGCCAGTCTTTTGAAATAAATGGCATTTTTATAACACAAACACAAGTTTACACGACAGCGGTACAATCACCGCTCGAACAGACGTCTGACACGACGCGAAACAAACAATGTTTGCAATTTTGCGATGTTATTTGAACTTGACGTGAATGAGTGAGTTAGGAATGATGTATTTGACGTTGGTTTTCGATTTGGGATTGGACTAAATTAACACATCGATTTTAAACACGAATAATCGTGAATCGGGCGGGAGTTTCAATTGGATAGCGCTGTACTACTACAAACATTGTAAATTAAGATACAACAAGTCATTTAGAACAAAGGAAACCTACATCGACTACAATAACTTTCATTACCAACTCGCATAAATAGAACGTCTAGCATACATCTGTTGGACCGCAGTCTCCAGGCTAACAACACTTAGCTCGGAGGGAGACAATGACGAAGTATTTTAAAAATAAAAATTAGTTCTTGAAATCAAACAAGATGTCATTAGCGATGTTTGGATCTATGATATTCATGATGAAGTCTATGATATTCATTCAAATAATGTTTTTGATGTAATAAAAGTAAATGAGGAAGTATTTAAAAAAACAAAATCACTAAAAAAGCATCTCCACTAGATAACGACTCTAGCAAAAGCTGATTCGTATCGTTGTACTGTAGCGACATCTAGTTTGATTTCGGGAACGAATGTTTTTTTTTAATACTTTCTCATTGACAATTAGATCCTACAATTTGTGCTGCCATCTAGTGAATACGTTTTTGTAGTTTCTTTATTTGTTTTTAATACTTCCTCCAGTTGTCTCCACCATTCAGTTGGACGATACTTTCACACACTTATCGTAGGTTCTCGTCGAGGAAAATATATATACAGGACATATGCAGAACATAAATGTTGAATGATATGCGTTTTTGCCAATAGAAATATTCAATTTTAAAAGTTTTAATTTTAATCAAAAATAAAATAACATTCAAAAATTTAATGAAAATTTTAAACGGGACTTTCCTCTGTCTAATGATTCTTTCAAATTATAAAAAAAATCAACGGTTTAAGTTCAACCAAAAAGGGTATTTCTTCTCCTTTACGAACATTTACCCTATGCTTCGATTATTTCTCCATTTTTTCTTTTTGTTTTCTCTAAGCTATAATTGCGATGGTGTGGTGGGATGAAGCAAAGCAAAAAGAACTGCGGTGGCAAGATCACGACATTTTCCTATTCGATACTAAATTTCCAGTACACAGTTTAAAAAAGATATTTGTAATTTGTACCTAAATAAATGTAAGACAACGTCATAAAAATTCCTCAGATTCCAAGATGGTAGCTAAAGCCTTCGTATTATGAAATATTAGGCAGGCAATGCAAATTGATGGTATTCTTAACACTAAATCACAGGTATTCTTAATGTATGAAATCAATCTACCCATTGGGACAACGTGATCATCTTAAATTGTTCCGAAAAAAAGACTGACTATTCTATTACCAGCCTTTGCGATCGAGGCTCAATCTCCGCAATAGCAGACAAACACAATAACTACTACACCATCGAGCTTTTCACTTATTGATATAGCAAGGATATTGTCATATTTTTTGTCAAATTGAATATATTTTGGTGATTTTGTAATATTAGTAAACCCGTGCATATGAAATTGCTCAAAAGAAGATCGAACCGGTCGAGCGATTGAAGCGATAAGGCAGACTATGAGTACGCACATCCAATGAGGAAGTATTTATAGTAAAAAAACATTAGTTCCCAAAATCAAATTTGATGTCGCTAAGGTACTTTCTTGATTTCTCCATGACAACCCTACCAATTTTATTTCATATATAGCATCCAAGCCAAGAATAAACTATTAAAAAAAATATTTCATATAAAAGAAAATTAATTTTCATAACATAATAAACAACTCATATTCTATTTGTACTTTTTCGTATTTGTATTGATCTCTAAGTTTCGAACTTTGCAAACTATTTTATTAATAGTTTCATATGTTAAAAGTTTATTATGTTAATTAAAAGAAACGGAAATGACTATCTTTAGTACCTGGTACCTGCAAAAATCAACTTTTGCTAGAGTCGCTATCTAGTGAGGCGCCTTTTTAGTGCTTTCTTTTTTTCTTAAAATGCTTCCTCATGCAATGTAGAGGAAATTTGTGACCGACATTGACGATTGTGTAATCTCATGAGTAAAAAACACTTGTGACTCTACATATATAGTCGATATCGAAATTTACAAAATACCTATATAAAACTTGAACAAGATTATTAAATAACCTCTGTATTTAATATCTAGCTCGACTTGCGTTTCAGATGGGAGTACTCTGTCCTGTTATAATAAAAAAATCAAAATTATTTATTCAGTCTAGGCTGTTACAAGCACTTGTGAAAGTCGAGATCTACGCCATCGGTTCGTAAATTTACGGCGGGAGACCTTGTACCGAGAATAACCGGCAAGAAACTAGGCAAGGGCTGCTTTTTTCTCCCTGTTCTATTTCATACAGAGCGTCAAGATTGAAAACTGACTTCATTAAAATATGAAGTCACTTTCCATTACAATATTAGAAAATATAAAAGTAAAACAGTATTTACGTCACTCGAATCTCATGTCTACAAACAAGCTTATCGATAAATAATGTAATGGCTCATTTTTATGTATATTACATAAAAATGAGCCATATTTAACACCAGGCAGTTTGTCGTTTAAATATTCATTAACAGTATAATATCCTTTACTGAGTAGACAATTCTTAATATGGGTTTTAAATTTAGAGGGTAAGTTTAAAATTTCTATAGGAATTTTGTTATAATAGTGTATACCTTGACCCATAAATGTTGATAGAACCTTCTTCAGCCTGCATGACGGCAGAACAAGTTTATCTTTGTTTCTAGTATTAAAATTGTGTACATGACTATATTTAATGTTATTGCTAATATTTTTTCGAAAATAAAGTATACAATTGTATAGCTATATCAATTAAGAGGCTACTTTTAATATCCCAATGAGGAAGTATTTAAAAAAAACGAAAGCACAAAAAACGTACCTCCACTAGATGGCGACTCTAGCAAAAGTTCATTTTTGCAGAAAACGAATAGACAAAAGACAGTCACACTGTCCCTTTTAAATAACACATTAAAAACTGAAATTTGAAAAGTTTGAAAATTAGATATCACAAATACGAAAAAATACAAATAGAATACGAGTTGTTTATTGACTTTTGGAAACTAATTTACTTTTAAACACGAAAGAAAACCGGAACGGTTGTCATAGAGAAATCAAGAACGTACCGTAGGGACATCTAGTTTGATTTCGGGAACTATTTTTTTTTAAATTGTTCCTCATTTCCCTGAATTTATCTTAGTGATGTTCTTGAACCCAACTGATAAATAGCCCTTACTGTTTTTTTTTTTGCAGCCATATCACATAACGCTATGGAATTAACAAAAGTATACTGTCCTATAGCAGTATCTACATCTGTGAGTTGCCTATTTTTTCTTATTGCAAAGGCAGCTGAATTAAGTTTTCATTGCAATTTAAGGATCAGTAGTAGAGCGACCTTTTGTGAAACCATATTGTTTAGTATGCAGTTATTTATTTATATTTAATAAGACAATAACTGTTCAAGAATATTTTTTTCAAAGATTTTAATTAACGTAAAATCTTTAATGACGTAGTACTAAGTCGAGGTCGATAAATGTCTTGACATTGAATGATACTATTTGGGTACTTAGTAGAATCGATAATCGATGTATTTTAAGTGGATATCATGTCAAAGAGTAAACAAGAAAGTGTTTATGGAAAAGACCTACTAAAAAAATTATAAAAGAATATTTATAGGCATGCCACAAAGTGCCTATTATGTTCCTGTCTCTTTTATGTTTTATCTATCTATGCTCTTTTTGCTTGCTCTAATTGGAATTTGTTGTGAAATTACAATATCGTGATGGGAGATTCATTCAAGCCAAAAATTAGCACAGGAAATCAAGATCCAGTGCTGAAAAGGGCAGAGCTTGATTATATGAAAATAATAGAACAAAAAAATCTCGAACGAGTACAAAAGCTCCAGCAGATCAACAAAAGGAATAGAATCACAGGTTTTACGATTGGTGCCGGGGTTCTTAGTGTTTATTTATATTCAATCTTCGCTATCAAGCAGGAAACCTTCCTTGACGACTTCAACGAACCTGCGAAAGTGCAACAGCAATAGAAATGGCTGTAGCACACAAAGTATCACAGTTACGATTGCCTCCATTACCGAGTATCAAAGACATCATTAGGTTATACAAACTACGTGCACTCAAGGAATTGTCTCAGAATTTTCTTTTAGAGCCGAGGTTGATTGATAAAATCGTGAGGGCAGCTGGTAATATAGAAAATCATGTCATATGTGAAGTAGGTCCAGGTCCTGGTGGTATTACCCGTTCTATTATTCGCCAGGCTCCACGGAAAGTGATTTTGGTGGAGAAAGATCAAAGGTTTGTGCCATCTTTAGAATTACTAGCAGACGCTTGTAAAGACAGAGTTGACATAGATATTATTACTGGTGACATTTTGAAAACTGATCTTGCACATTACATACCTAAAGATGTGAACAGTGACTGGTTTGATTCGCCCCCACAGGTCAATTTGATTGGTAACTTACCATTTAGTGTCTCTACCATTTTGATCATTCGCTGGCTTGAAATGATTTCTAAAAGAGAAGGTCCGTGGTCTTTGGGACGAACTCGAATGACTTTAACCTTCCAGAAAGAAGTAGCAGAAAGAATGACTGCTCGTATGTCAGCCAGACAACGATGTAGGATGTCAGTTATGTGCCAGACTTGGTGCAATGTTAATTATAAGTTTGATATACCAGGTGCAGCGTTCCTTCCAAAACCAGATGTTGATGTTGGAGTGGTTACCCTCACTCCTCTGAAGCACCCATTGATCAAATTACCATTCAAATTGGTTGAGAAAGTTGTTCGACAAATATTTTCTATGAGACAGAAGTATTCTATTAGAGGTGCACAGACTTTATTTCCAGAAAACGTAAGAGAGGAGATGGCGCTAAAAATGTACAAAATGGCAGAAATTGATCCAGTAACTAGACCATTCCAAATTGCCAACATGGAGTTTGCTAGAATCTGTGAAGCATACAATGAAATCATAAAAATGTATCCAGAATTTGAAAACTATGATTATCGTGCACCAAAGAAACAAAAAGAAGAAAATGTTGAAGATGCAGTTTAATTGTAGATGTGAGCTTTGATTTGTAAATAATATTGGTAGATGTCATTTAATAAAGTTTTATTTAGATCAAACAATATTGTGTTATTTCAAAGAAAACAATTTTTAATTTTCAACTGTAGAAGAATCCTTTTGTTCTATTGTATTCTTTTGGTCCATTTTTTTTTTCAAAACTTTTTTATGTTTGTATGATTGCAAATGGATTTCATAGGTTTTGTCTCCTAAAATGAGTCTATTACACACATCACAATAATTTCGTGAATTCCCATCAATCAGTTTCTTTTCTTCTGTAATGTTAGATTTCAAAGGTTCAAAACAGCAAGTTTGTCCCGTTATGTAACTGTCTATAATTTGAATAGCTTTGTTTTTTACTTCTTCATTCCATTTGGTTAAATCTGTTGTATCTAATTCGTAAATTGTAGGAACCTAGAAAAAAAAAAAAATCACATATTATCGCCATCTATACATTGAATGCAAAGACGTTTACTATTATTCCGTTTACAAAAGTACTAAAACACAGTACATAATTTCACTACTCGACGCTAGATGGCAGTATAAGCATTTTATTACAGGCATAACAAGCACTATGACTTTGACTCAGTGGCGTAACTACAGGGTGGCAAGTCGGCTAAATGCCACGGACCCCAGCTGGAAGGGGCCCCCGGTTAGAGGGGACACCCTACTCCTGATATTTATTATTACACAATTTGTAAAAAAATTGAATACCCAATGCATTTGCCACGGTATAGTTACTCCACTGCTTTGACCACAATTAATTACTATAAATAAACTTATATAATTTCATTTCCTGACATTGCCGTACCTCTCTCGAAGGATGTCCCAAAAATCTCCCTCTGATCATCTTGTTTTGCCTTCTAGCGTATCTTCGTGTGCCAATTCTCATGTTCTCAATGCTTACTTCAAGAAGTTTAGTTCCTTCTTCGCTTTTTTTCTGGTCTTCTGTGAGCATTAAATAATCATGGAACTCTTTAAATCCTAATGTTTGAAACACGCCTTTAGTGTAGTCGGGTGGTCTGGAAATAGCGATTGTCTATTATTAGCATAGGTTCTTTAATTATATTTATGTATTAACTAGCTTTCCGCCAGCGGCGTCGCCCGCGTGCTCTTGTATTATACATAAAATTCCTTTTGAATAACCCTATCTATTTAAAAAAAAATCGCTTCAAAATCCGTTGCGTAGTTTTAAAGATTAAAGAGTGAAAGCGACTTTGTTTTATATAATGTTGTATGACAGTATAGAAAAAAAGATGTAAAATGTCGAATAGGGGAAGGGTGATAGTAAGTCACGGGTAAAGTAGATAATTCAGAATGCATAAAAGTCCGACCTATTTAAGGCAAGAGTGAATTGGTTACTTCTGGGCAAGCTCGTCTCACAGCGAATCCCATTCATGCTCTTGGGCAGAATTTAGGTCAAGAGAGTCCATTATAAATAAAAAGAAAATCCCTAATTCAGTAAGCATGCTTAAAAAATGTGTTGAAGACACTCTGCCATATCCGTCTTCTAAAGCTAAGGCTCTGTATTATAAATTATCGCATCTGATGTAGCTTACCGTAGATGCAAGAATTTATGCTTCTACGGTAAGCTACATCATCATATTAGTATTTATAAATGTATAGTATAAAACAAAGTCACTTCCCGCTCTATTGTCTAGAAACTTCCTACGTAGTCCATATTATGGACGCTTAAAAAATACAGTCCAACATAAAATTAGTAAGTGTAATAAAAGTCTCACGCTTCATGAGTTTCAATCTCGAGTCGCGAGTTGAATGAATTATATACACAGCTAAAGAGTTACGTGTGCAAGAATCGGCTAAATAATTACCGAGCAACACAGAAAAAATAATCCTCGCACCATCGACAACGAACGCCACGTGCATAGCTAATTCATTTGAATATTGTAACGACTCCGTTCGTAGTTTTTTTGTATCGGAATTTTAATATTTCTTCCGTTGCTTCATTGCTATGATTTTGTTAAGTTTGTTACAACTTGTTAAGTTTTTGCGAGTTAATTGATGTTTTAACATTTCAATATAATTTTTAAATGTTTTCATTGCTGTGTACCAGTCTTCCTTATGCATCGAACCAAATCAAATGGGTAGAATCTTTCTAATTTATATTACCTACCTTTACTTTAAAAATTGCAATATGAGTCTAATTGCTCCAGCTTTTTTCGATTGCTTATTTATCCATGCTTGTAGTAACGGCATATTCATTTATTATTAAATAATTCATCAAAGTAATAAAGTTGAAAGTTAGGTACAAATTTAGCGGGTTTAGAAGATATTTACCACATAAATATTTACTTATTCATTCATTCATTCATTTATTTGGAAATTATATGTGCAGCCATCTAACGGGCAGTAGCGGAACTAATTATGTTTACCGCCAAGTAGTAAAAAATGAGTTGTTGCGTTCCAGTTGATATTTTTAACGAATTTTCAATTCTACAATAATATGTTTTTTATGTTATCTGAAATTATCGTCTTTGATGAGTTTATTAAGTATCATTTGGATTTGAATATATTCCAATAATAAGTAGGAAAAAGTTAAGCACCTAGGAAAATATAGCAGGTATATTGATTCACTTTTCAACTATCGCGCTGCATTATTAAATACTTATCGTTATTCTAAGGTATTACCCGTTATTAGTATTTAGGTATTTAGGTATATTGATATTCTAAGTATTTAGGTATATTGATATTGTGTTAGTTATATAACAATTATTATTAAGAAATTTGCTAATCTGCCCATCACTTTCTCTTTTGAATTAAACATGTAGTTTCGTAGCCAAGTGTGTAAAGATTCTTTCAACACTCTAATAAAATTGCCGGTGACAATGCAACAAGGATTTTCCTCGTTTCTCTTTCGTTTATACATAATGTATTAAGTATTACGGCGAATAAGGATTGAAATACCTTAAAAATTTTCACGTGACGTCATAAAATCACAATTTTGAAACACGGCAAATTAAAAAGTAAATGGCTGACATTTGTTTTGATTACTCGTAAATCGATAAGCTATTATATTTTTCATAGAAAAATATCATCAAGTTTTCCGTAAAATATCTTATTAATATTTAAAAAATTGGGATATTAAAATTATATAAAAGGTTGGAACATCACTAATCAAAGCATATTTATCTGCTATAGGTATAATCCAGCCACAATATAGTGAGCTTTTCTTGACAATTTTTTTTTAACTAGGTTCAAATTGATTTAAATGTAATTGTGCATATTGTTTAGGACTTTATTGTAAAACGTAAGAAGTCTCAAGAGATACCTGCAAAGCCTTTATTACAAGATAGTATCCAAATAATGGGGAGATTGATCACAAAATTTTAAATCGGATGAACACGAAATGGTTCACGGAAGCCTGTAAGGTTGAATGGCTGGTATATATATTTACAAAACGGTGATAAGACCTGTTGTTATGTATGAATCAGAATGTTGGGCCGTGGCGAAGATGAATACAAGAAAGTTACATGTAGCGGAGACGAGAATGTGAGTTGACGAGAATGGATAAAGTAAGAGATGTACTCATCTGTACTCGTAAAGAGGGAATTTGAAAGTGGCACCGATGACAGAAAAAATGTAAGGAAAGTGTTGGCTTGGTACTGGCACTTGTCATGAGAATGTAAATAAGCGAGTGATGGGGATGCTAGAGAGCAAGAGGACGACCACATAAAAGACGGACGGACTGTGATGGTGCGAGGCATGAGGCATGATATGAAAGTGAAGGGAGTGAGCGAGGAGAGGAGTGGAAGAGGACACGATGCGTCGACCCCACATCTGGAAACAGAGCAGGAAGATAATGTTGATGGTATCCCGCGAATTTAATTGAAATCTGCAAAATACAAAAAAAAGCTATTTATTTATCGTAACACAAACCTAATGATATTATTACAGTTGTCGCTTTAAATTTTAAGTTTTGTCTAAAAATTTTTTTGTAATTAGTAATTTAAAATATTACAATGTAAATGTAATTAAACAATTATTTAAATGAAACTTTTTTATTCGCAATTTTTTATCGATAGTAAATACTCATTACCATAGATTATGGCACCGTTAGACGATTGTTTATAAAAATTAAATACCAAGGTACTTACAAACAAAATGGCTAGTTCAAAGATCAATTTATGAATTAATAGATTTCCGCTAGCGAGGTCCTGTATAAATAAACCTTCCTCTAGAAACACTTTATAAATCCGTTGAGTAGTTTATAAGATTTCAGCGTTCAGACAAGGGAAAGCGATTTAGTTTTATAATTGTATATAAAATAAATTTATCGGTGACAGTATAATATAATTGGTCACAGTAAAATCTAGTTTTACTCGTAAATTAACCGAGCTAAAAACTATTCTATGAACAATATAAAAACCGCCGGTAGTAATCGTGTCTTTTGTCGTAACATTAGAGTGAACGTATTCGTATTCTGTGGTCGCCAGCCGCTACCGGGCTGCGCATACGCGGATTTTCTGATCTTGATACTCGACATCAATCGTTTTTTAAAGAAATTTAGATGTAGGTATTTAATCCAACTCGTCAACAGCCAAACAATAAAGACAAGAATAAAACAAGAAGAAACATAACCTGCGTATCTTGGCTAAAATTGACCTGATCTACCTTCTGGTTTTTCAACGCCAAATACGACTAAAAAGCTTACCCTATCGAAAAATATCTAAATGTTTTTACTCTATTGATTTAGCGTCTTCGGTCTGCGATGCGAGAATTAAGCATACGTAGGGGCCACTCATAGGAATCGGTGGTCAAAAATGTATTATCTTGAGCTCTTCAGAACTTTGGCATGCGGAGTCCCGGATACATCTGCAGTCGCAAATGTGCCTTTACTCCATTAATGGGGTACAGGCACATTAATAGTCTGGTAATGATGACGATTTCCGTGTATGAATAAAATAATTCTATCTGCTCGTGTGACTGTCTTTATTTTGAAGTTTCGTTTATTGATGAATGCCGTATTGCCTATAGTCCACCCGGTCCAAATATCCTATGAGTCAGGCTCCAAGTATTTTGGGCCTATTTATATCTATTCCTTCTACATGCTCCCCCATCGTGACGAAAACGTGATGCACTTTTTCAGTAATGCACGTTTTTTTTAATGTACCAACTAACATTTTTGGCAACGGTCCCGAATGATTTATTTAAAAGTTTGTCTAATGAAATTCTGTGCTGCTTTTATATGTCCAACATTCATAAATGTTATTTTATGCTAAATAAAAAAATAATTGCTATTAGAAAATTTTGAGAATTTTAAGTATTCCTAGCTTAGATGAATCCTTTATTCTATATTTATTAGATTATCTAGTCAGGATAACATTTAAAAACTTAATTTATTGACATCGAATTACTATAATGGTAATTTTATAAATTATATTATATCTATTAAGTACCAAAGACAATTAAGCGCGCATGTAATATGAGACAGCATAGACGTAGGTAGTCGTAGCAGGTCGCACTCCCGCGCAGCAGATGCTCCTGGTACAACTGCGTTCGTTGCCCGCTCTGCCTTACTATTAAAGTGTAGCTTTTAATAAAAATCTTTGCTTTAAGTAAATTAAAAAACATCAATATGAATTATTATATTTGATCTATGTTGCATTTACAATGCTATACTGAAAAATATTATAATGAAAATTGCTTAAGAAATCCACTTTGTCCCACGCTCTCTGAGACGGGACTCCAACCTAGGACCATTCAAAATCTGGCGACTACTCTAACCACCCAGGGCATAACAGGACTAATGAATTTTTCAAAGCAGTCGCCTGAATTTCGAAAGGCAATAGGTTTGAATCTCATCTCAGAGTGCCTGGGACAAATAGTTTTTTTTAACTTATCGCTATGAAGTTAAGATATATTTTATTGATTTGCGAAATTTTATCGGATAAACTTATTACTGTACGTTAGACAGACATATATTAACGCACACACAAA